TTTCTCTTTTATTTTAACTTATATTTAATAACATCACTATGATAAATAATTAAATGAATAAAGTCAGAGATAAAACACCTTTTAATTTAATCATCATTGTTGCTTGTGTTACCAGAATTAGGATTTAATGCTAATTTGTTAGTCGAAATACCCTAATTCCGAACCAAATCTTTTATTTCTATTTTTATTTTATTTACTTTATTTTTTTATATCTACATTTATTTATTCCTTATACTTTATTTTCTTATTTTATTTTTATTCATATTTTATTATTTTATTGTATTACATTTTTATTTTTATTCGTATAACGTCGAAATTAGTTAGCTTTATTTAGAAATTAGCATCGCGGTTAGAATGTTACGTCGCAATTAAAGTGCGGTATCGTGGCTAGAATGTTAGATTGCAATGAAGTTGTTACTAATTAATTTAATTGTATAAAAGAAGCTCAAATTCGACTTGCTTGTAAAATAACTTTGTCTTAGTTTAATAACTTTGTCTTAAAAGTTTCATAATAAAGATTAACTTGGTAATAAGTTAATAAATTAGTTTCGACTAAGGAAAACTTTGTTTAATAACTTTGTGATAAGTTAATTAGTTTCGACTAAGGAAAACTTTGTTAATTAGTTTCGACTAAATAAAACTAAATAAATAAAATAGATATTTAAAACTTTTATCTTCTTTAAACAAAATTATTCGCTAATACCAAAATCAATTCGTTGATCCTATTCATTCTGATCCACGCAAAAACAAAAATAATTGTTATCACCAATTAAAATACGCTCTCCCAATTTAATCGGTGACACTTGTTTATTATTCTAATCATTATTTATGTATATAGGTAAAGAAAAATTTTAAAATCTATTTATTTATTGTATTTACTTTTAAAATAAATGATTTCTGCTTATACTTGCAATTGGACGCGTCAAACAAAATCTTACACATATGAATATAAAGGCAAAATTTGGCTTTGAGGGTCAGATTATTTTCGGTTTTATTAACAACCTGCTTAAGATTTTTCATAAAGTAGATACATATGATAAAGAAATTATATCTCAAATTTGGTGGTGGTTGCTACACAGCAAG